TATTTGTTTTGAATAGCAAGTATTTGTATATCTGAACTTGGAAAGAGAAAGTGTTTTTAAGTGTGAAACATCCTGAAATACTGTCTGTCATTGAACAACTAGGAAAGAAGGTGGGAAGTTCGGCTTTGCAGAATCTATACCGAACCAAAAGATCACCGCCTTCAAAATGGAACGTGCTGCTATTGATACTAACAATGTGGAAGAACAAGCCGAAGAAATCATCGCCAAAGCTGACCCTCCTTCAGAAGTGTATCTTTTCTGTTGTATTAGTCGGGGGGAAACCAGACTTCCCATCCCCTGCATTAGCACTACGAGAAGCTAAACGCACATCCAAGATTCTTCACAGCTTAGGCAGCCTTAGAGCCTTCAGAGGAAACCTCAACATCGTATTGGTTTTGGTTCTAACTGCTTTTAGGTAACTTAATTCCTAGCGTAAAGTGCAAAACTGAGGTCTCAAGTGACCGATTGTTACAGTAAGTGGAGAAGTACTCTCTTCTCAACTCCCCATTAAGGATGTTCTCCCCTGGGGAGAAAAGATACAGCTTAAAAAAACCAACTGGTTGTTTGCTCTCAGAATACAAAGAGTTTACCAGCAAACACCAAGATTTTTCTTAACTGCCTCAGTTTTGCCAAACCAATATTGCACACTCCCGGGACAGCCCAAATTGGGGAAGGAATAGAGAACTCCTGGGGAGACCTTGAAGAATCTGAGAGGGAAGAAGCAGCGGAAGAGGAAGGTGAAATTGAGGCTGCTGCTTTTGAATGTCAGAAAATGGAAACCGAGGATACAAGCACGATGAGCGAAACTAAGAAGGGTTAGTATTTATGTATCTTGCTCTCAGATATGCTTGTTATATCATTTTATTAACAGTCTAGAATTAAAATGTGAAAAAGGTCCTTAGCAAGAAAGGAGAACCATTGTAGCCACTTTCCTCTTGAGAGTTACACCCACGTGCTACTTTGACTTCAGCTGGTCACTTCTGTTTTCTTCAAAAGAGAACTTGAATTTCTGTAGTATATGGAGGGCTCCAAATGAAACACTAGCCACTCTGAATGTGTCTTTAAAAATGCTGTGGTTATTAGTTACAGGAGTCATTTGTACAAAACTGATCACCAGTTTCTGAGTTTGTGGTTGGTTGGTTTGTTTTTTTAGATGAACCTATTGTATTGTCTGACAGCGAAGAGGAAGAAGTTGTCATTTTGGAACCACAGGAAGTACCGAAGAAAACAAGGTAACCGTCATGTGAAAATTAAGAGGGGAAAAGGAGTTTGTAAGGAGTATTTTAAGAAAGCACAGGATTTTGGCAAGGCTAAGAAAGGTCTCAGTTGATCAAAGGGACTACAGAGAGCGCCATCCTGGCTGACCTGCAGCTGTCTGAAACAGTTATAGATACTTGACTAACCCTAACCTTTCCAAAGGGAGCGAGAGTGTAAAAGTGGATTTGAATCAGCTGCTCCTTAGAGATGCTGCAGAGATTCTACATGCTACACTACGGCTAATCTTAAGTTTTATCCCCAAGAAGTGAGATTTATTGCTGTATCCCTGCACTAGCCATGGAAACCTTTGTTGTTGTCTGTAGTATGCTTTCTAGAAACTAAGTTTGAACTGTGCACCGAGCGTGGTGGATGGTTGCCCTGTTACATATGATCAGCCTGTGTTCTTTTGAAATAAAACTATTCACTACATTTTGTTGATACAAATGTTGTTTGCTCACAGAACACAGACCAACTCAAAACAAGAAAATACAAGTAAGAAAGCATTTAACAAAAGGAGAAAAAAGAAGAGAGCTGCTTATTAAAGCCATCATCCCTCCAGAAATGCTGTATAGTACATAATTTGGTGTATCATTACTGAACTTACTTTTGTAGATAATTTTCTTTCTTCCCACTCCATATCTGGTCCTGCTTTTATGTATACTTTATACAACTGTTGTACACAGCTTTCAATAAAAAAAATTTTGCATGTAAGTGAAATTCCATGGTTAGCATCCAGCTGCAGCAGCAAACTCACTAGTTCACCTTGAACTGACTTAAGTGCTACAGCTTGAATTGCGGAGGTAAGATGCTTGGTTTTCTTAGCAAACGGCCTCTGCCATTACTGAAGCAGCAACTTGCGTATAGTCGAGAGTTCAGGCGGTAAAAGGCATCGTGGCTCAAGTTTATTGCAAGGAAAGCTGCTTTTAATTGAGGTAGCTATTGCTGTACCTTGGAAGTGTGTCGTACCTCGGAGTGTTCTTCACGGGGGTAAAGGGTGTGCTGCGACTAGTGTCACTCCACATCTTCCCTTTCACTGAAACTGCTTCGTATAAAAATCAACAGAAATGCTCGTACCTAGCAAAATAGCGTAGCCCTTCTGCAAGCTTTCATAGAGAAGCAACTCATACTTCGGCAATAGAGTTTCTTAAAAAGTTTAATTAAATATTACATGCAACAGACAGGAATGCTTCTTGAACTATATTCAAAGAATTATGCTCTGAATTTAGGATCAGGCAAAACAAAGAGACAAGGTTTCCAAAATACCTGACCTAGCCCCTTTCCTCAAAAACCAAGTCAAATTAGAAACAGGCACATATTTACAAGAGCAAAGTAGGACTATTTTACATGCGACCTTAGTATTTCATGAAATATGAACAGGAGAGAAGTTACTGTTGCAGATGTGACATTCCCCAAATCAGGTTTAGTAAAAAAAAAAAAATAACTTGCTCCCAGTCAAGTAAAGCGTTAATCAAGTTGTGCTCTTTCAGAAAGGGACAAACACAGAAAGCCCCATTCCTTCAGGAGGTAAATGAGGGCCTTTTCTTAGCGTCAGTTCTTCCACCCCAAAGTCACCATCAGGAGTATAAGAATGAGTGAAGACTCAGTTGTTTGTTACTTCTGCAGTACCCTGAGACATTAAACTTCTTCAGGACAAAGAACAGTATTCTTTGCACTACTATTTCTCTCTTCTCCACACAGAGCATCTCGTACCCTACATTCCTTAGAGGCTTTCTTTTGAAAGGGCTACGAGAAGTTAAACTGGATAGGCAAAGCAGTAGTACAGCACAACCTGGGATGTTTTGTTCAAAGCTTAATAGCAAGAGCTGGAATCGTCCCCCACTTTCAAAAATGAGATGGAAAAAAATGGTACTTCTTGCAGCAGCAGCAAGAGCTGTCAGTGGGGAAGGAGGAACATGGTTGTAGTGGGCAGAGATGCCAGCCTGTGACTGAAGTGTCTTTTTTGTCTAGGCTGTAGAGGAAGTCATATCGGTACGTTGAAAGTAAAGCTCGGGGAGGAAGGGAGAATTTTTCTGTGCTGTGGGAGCAGTAACAGAACGACTTCCATTGAGCAAGGAGACATTTCGTTAAGCAGTAAATTAATACTATAAACCACCAAAGTCCTTTCACCGAAGTACTACTACTTGCTCTTTTCTGGGGAAAATAATTCATAAGCATCCTTTAAATTAATCCTCTTCCAATGTTCATATTTCTCAGTGGTCTTGGAAAGTTTCCAGCATACAGCACAAAAACAAAAAAAAAGGGGGGGGAAGGTAGAACCCAGTTTCTCAGAACACTATGCTCTATTGTCTTCAAAGAATAATTGCCAGTCAGCATTTTGAGTTGCCCTTCCAAGGTGGCAAACCGATGTCGCAACTGTGGCAAACAGACTCCTCTGTATACAAACTCCCTCTCCTGCAAGGTTAGAGCATTTCCAATACTAAGCCCCAGACATGATACACTGCAGAGTTTTTTCCCCAACTAGTTTTAGCTTTACAGTGGCAACCTACTGAAGTCACACTAAGTACAGGCTGTTGGAGAACATGGTTGACCAATGCACTGTGGCTCTTTGTTAAACAGAACATGTATAAAAGTCAAAGTGCATCCTAAAAAGCTCAGATTTTTGGCCAAAAAAGGCAGCCTCTGGTGCACACTTTTGTCTTGACTGGATTAGCTGCCACCACTTGGCTGGATCAGTTTGTGGCCGAGTTGGTTCAGACTGCAGAGCAGGGGCAAACAGCAAGTTTTTAGTCACCAAGTTGAGACATGCAAGTTGTCTTGCTATAACATGTGCTTGACTGTTTGACAGGGCTGATGATTTTTTTTTAAATATTTTAAAATTTATTTTAAATAGCCCACACCATAACAGCTGTTCAACATCTGTGAATAATTTGTACTGCTACCTGCTGGGTGTTCAGAAAACCAGCCAGCCAGTGTTGAATCAAGTTGAAGTTGAAGCGGCACAGGTTTCACAGGGCGGCCCTTGCCAAAAAGCTTTAGAAATGAATGCCACTTTAAGATGGTAGTACTACCCCCTCAGTGGTTTTAAGGTATTGGCAAGACCACTAACATCAGATGTAAAAATTGTTTATTAGCCAACCTGGAAATGGCTTAATTAAACCCACTTCTGTGCACTCACTGCTCTACATGCAAAGACCAGCAGGTACAGGGCAGCATCCCTCCATTTACACAGGTTGAAGGTAAACATCCACTTGATCTAATGCCGATTAGGTGCTACTTTGTTCATCTAACAGTTCTACAACTAAGGAAAAACATGACCATCGGTCTCCATTTTTGCTGCATGCCACAGAGGAACCCTTTCCAAGCAAGGGGGACGTAGAGAACGCGTACTGTTCTGCACATGCCCATCCACACCAGAAGGCGTTCCCTCCTCTTGAGGGCACAGCAGCAGTTCACCCTCTTGCAGTTTAATCCCTCCACCACCCCTAAAGAGGTACTAGGTAAGCAGACTGATGACTGTCATTTTTTTACTAGATAGCTGTCCCAAAAGCCCATGGGTGACACATCAGTGGGAACTCCATGGGCTTAAATTAATATCAGTTTTACACTTTGGAAAATACCTACAGCGAGACCATTTTCTACATACTGGAAGGAAGTAGGAACTGGTGTACTAGGTTTTAGCTGTGCAGTCCCTGCAGCAGAGCGTTCAACCTTTGACCTGATGGAGATGTGGCAATACATTACATGGCCATCGAGGCTTCCCGTAACTGGCACATCCTAAAGAGCCTCACAAGAGTCCATTCCAGCAAGGTGTTCTCCTCACAGCTAGATTGCTTCTTCCAGTATTATAGCCATTAAGCCACATTTTGGATCTATACTAAGTCTCAGTTTAAACTAGACAGTATAAAAATGCTACAAATACCACTGTGAAGTCCAAGTCATTCTTACCTGGAAGGAGACAAAGCCCTACTAAAATAATGCACTGCTAATATTAATGTTCAGTCTATAATTAGATAAGCAGTCTCAGACTTCACTTGGTCACATGGTTAATTCCGTGCTTGAAGAGAACATTTTTATAAAAACCCAGCTAAATATTTTAACAAGATTGCATGTACAAAAGATTTACATTAAAACCACATAAAACTAACTTCATAATTAAGCTCATCAAAACCTGTATTAATATTCCGAGTGATCACTTCTAGAATTCTCAACCATGTTTAAAACTGTACATCATTTTCTTGTAATATACATCTTTTAAAAAGATCAGTCTCTTGATTATTACAATACGTTTAGTGTCTCTGGGGGGTCAATAAGCGATACTCCATGGTACCTAGAGAGGGAAAAAAAAAGACGTAGGATGTCATCTTCCTCAGGTGCTCTCTGCCGTAAAGAACGGCACGCGTACTGCGGCAAAACACATTTCTCACAAGACAGAAAATATTTTGGGACTTGTCAGCTGCCACACTGACGCAGATTTTTAGGAGCATTAGGTACCATCTCCTGCCTACCAACTGTAGGAACGTCAAGAAAATTCCTCCAGTTTCTACCTGGCAGTTCAGGTAGTGGTAGCAGGCCTGGTGGTGAACACGAAGTATTGCTCATCAAAACATTTTGCAAAAACCTGCAGAGTCATGTCACTGTTTCACTTACCTGGTAGATGTGGTTGAGCCCCCAACTGTAGGAACGTCAAGAAAATTCCTCCAGTTTCTACCTGGCAGTTCAGGTAGTGGTAGCAGGCCTGGTGGTGAACACGAAGTATTGCTCATCATAACATTTTGCAAAAACCTGCAGTCGTGTCACTGTTTCACTTACCTGGTAGATGTAGTTGAGCCCAACTGCAGTCGAGGTACACCCCAGCCCCCCACCCCATTAAGCAGTTACGTGCGAGGACAACTCGGGTGTAACGTACCAGCTTATCGTACCTCTCTCTAGATACTCACTTGGTACTCTTGTACTTTTCCCTTATGGACTGTTGTGTGTGCTGTGCTGCTTTGAGGTAGGTCTGGTGTAGGTCCATGAGGCAAGGCTTGATGTCTTCAAGGGTGTAGCCTGTTACTTTGCACAGGGATTCAGGCTGAGGGGACAAAGGAAAGGAAGAGGGACATTTGAACATTTCTGTTCGCTTATCCTGACAACCACTGGCGGAGTTTTTAGCTTCCTGTTGAAGCTGTGTTGTTCTAGTAGGTTGGCAGAGTGTCGTTTTCTCAAGCACAAAGTGGTTTAATACTGCTCAGATTTTAGCAGTTCATGTGGATTTACATTAATCCTGAAAACTATCATTCTAAACAAGTATTCCTTGCCTCCAATGCTTAGGCTTTCTTACCGCCCGCTTCCTCATCACAAGGAAGCTGCTTACAGCTTTGAAGAGGATCACCAGAATGGAGTGCATCAGTAGATGCCTCTTCCTTCCAAGAGAAGGTGTGTTCCCCCCCCATTTCTCAAATATCATAGGGAGCCACCCCTAATTAACAGCCTAGGAGCGCGGAGGGGCTGCGATTCCTGCAGCCCAGGCCCCAGCATTCAGAACTGCGTACGAATACACTAAACGTGCATAAAGGTGTGCGAAGGGTCAAGTTTTAGTGCTGCGTACCCAGGTTTGTCCAGTGATCGTATAGCCTGCTAGGTGAAACGCTGCAGCAGCAATAACTGATGGCAAGTACTTCAGGTAAGGATCAGCATCAATGAGGCTCAGCTCCCCAAGGTACTGCAAGGGAAACAAGAGAAAGGGAATTATCTGCTTCCAAAAGAAAGTAGGAGAGCATTTAAGAGTTGCGCTGGAACCCTAATTTAAGCTTCCAATCCCAACATCAGTTGGAGGAACAGCTTTTCCTAGTTTCTACTTCCTCTTTTAGCATCTACTGGGAACACTGTTTGACAGTAGCTAACAACGCATGCTTTTTCAACACCATGTTTTATATTTAGAGGTATATAAGATCTAGCAGGAAGAGCATAGTCGGGTCTGACCTTTGCACAACGGGACACAGTCTTCTATTTAGGAGCTTTGGTACCTGCCGTACAGTTAGGGTTTAATATAACTTTAGCTGAAACGTTATCTGTGCTCCACTTTAGAAATTGGCCTTTGGATTTAGAGCTCACGGCTTGTTGAGTGGAAAACTGAAACAAAAGTCCTTTTTAGCCACGGTGGGCGGGTAGGCATGGCAGTTTTAGATAAGAAAGAGGGAAACATCTAAGCAGTGAAACAAACCCCAAATTAAAGTTCATCAATCTCTGCCTGCTCTGAGTAAGCGTGCGTGCTTGAGCCAGGCCAAGTGTCAGCCTGTGACAGGAATGGAGTATCTCAATCGGTAAGTGGCAATAGGAGCGTTAGTTTCCCGTGTGCACGTTCCAGACCTCTCCCAGAGAGACTACACATTTAAAAATAGGAGGAGGCAGGGAAGCCTGAACCGGAGAATCCTTTAGCATTTCTTTTCTTTTCTACTGCGACTAGGAAGCAGAGCTTGTAAAGTATATTAATAGCAATAGACCTCTCTAGTTACATGGGCCGAGCTAGTAATTTTTCCTTACCATTGATAGGCTCTCCACCTTAGCGTTCGTCTGCTGATGTAGGAAATACTGAGTGAGGAACTGGTTGATTGTTGGAGCTGCCAAGTCAAATGACAAAACCTTCAAAATTAAGTGCTCCATCCTTAGAACTTGCTTCTTCGTATAGGTGTCATCTGTGATGTAGACAAACTCTGCTACTTCAGGAGGGTAGATTTCTTCAAACTTGCTGCCAGGAGAAATAGTTATAAGCAAATAATTGAGTACTGGAAAACCAGATAACCAGCAACATTTAATGAAAGTCAGCATGCTAATTTAAATTCTGACTTGTGAAGTAGTTGGGCGCTGTTACCCAACAAGTTTGCTGCACTTGGTTCAGTAGCTCTTGAATCAGCAGAATTTGAAATTACAGAGCTACAATAGCCTGATATTTTAGCACTGAGCCATTTGGGACTCCGAGTTACTGAAATTCCAGAACCCACTAAACTAATAATTGCTGAAACCAAAACTTTCTTTTCACATGCCTTGTGCATATTCCCTCAAATACTGTTTAGAAGCCTTCTGCTGCTGCAGCTAGAAATAATGAATCCTCACATTAGGGCAATCTACAAAGGTAGCCTAGAATCTTGCTTGCAGAGTTTTACACAAACTGCCACGCTTTTGGGTGGGTAACTCCCGATTTTTCTTCTAGCGTGAAGCCCTCCCAGGTCAGTCCAGCTATAGGCAACAGAAACGTGATAGCCACAAGACTTCCATCTGTACGAGACCAGCAAGTGGAATTTCAATAAGCAATTTCACTTACGATGCAAGCAGCATAGCTGCAGTACCCACAAGCTGAAGTTTTCCTCTCAAAACAGACATTGAAGAAAGAAACCTATCAATGTAATTTACAGCTAAGTGCAGGGTTTCATTCTGTAATTTGTATTCTTCTCCAACTTCCACCAGCCAGTCCACAAGAATAGCCCGCATGTTGTTTGTGATATCAGGTTGCTTCTTCATATAACCCATTTTAGGCTTGCATTTCACCTGTAGGTTTAGATGACAGATACGATTGAGTTTGGACTAAGTGCTGGTAGGGAAGCAACTGTTTAAGCTCCATTTACCACAGTTTAAACTGATCAGAAGTAAACAATGGTAGGTCTGGGATCAGTAAGTTCTATTTCTGTAACCTTGCTTTCCAGTTCAGCGCATGGCACAATCAACTTTATCGCAAGAAACCAGTCTTGTGTTCACAGCAGTGGACACAGCATCTTATTTCTCTGTTTCTAGCAAGCTTTAATTTAGTCACTGTAGCAGTAACTAATGTTTAGATCCATTTCTTAACCCCAAATTTCTCCCCCATAAGCTGTATGCAAATGAGAAAAGAGAGAGCAGCTCACCTCCATTTCCCTAAGGTACGTATGGATATCGCTGATATAGTCTGGCACGTTATTAACGTTTGTTTTTTTCTCTTCCTCTTCTGAGGTTATTGAAATATCCATAATACTTGGAGAATCTAAGGAGACGATAATAGCCATGTCACAGCGGGCACCATCAGACCACTCCCTCGCAGCAGAGGGAACTACCCTATTCTGTAGTGGGTCCGTGGTGGCTCCCCAGGACTGCTAGGTCTCTTGCCTCCTAGGCAGGCCATCACTCAACTAGACTGGGAGTTGAGGAGGCTCTAGGGAAGCTTCCCATTCCCATTTCTCTTCTTCTCCCTAAGGATAAAGGGATGGAAAACTCCTTTGCCAATTATGGAGTGCCCAGTGCATCCTTTGTTACCTTGTTACATGGAAGTGAATCCTGCAAACTTAGCTATTGTGGCTTAAAACAGGGCTGGAGTACCAGAGCTTTTTGTAGGCTGCAGAAGCGGACCACAATTAAATCAGCCCTCAGATACTCACGCACGCGTTACAGAAGATGGAACTGACAGCTCCCATTTCTTACGTACTGGGAAGAGCTCAAAACACTTGCACCAGTACAGGGCATTACCTGGGAGAAAAGTCTATTAAGTCTCAGGATCTGCCTGAGTAAAGTCCCCTTCTAACTCTACAGCAGCAGCAAAGGGTGAGGCTTTAAGGGCTGCTCTTGCCTGTAACCTGGTTTCTCTTGGGAGGTACTGATAATTAAGGTTAAAAGCATATGTCTGCCTACAAAGAGCAGGGGATAGAAGCGTAGAGGCTCCAGTAATGGATAGCATAGCTGGACTGAAAAGCTGCTGCATCGTCATGGCAAGCTGAAACCGGTTTCAGCAACCGAAAAGGTATCTTCCGAGTCAAACCAAACCAGTTCACGTCCCAAACAGCTTCAGGATTTACAGTCCTCCTCCAGGGTGCTCTGGAATCCCTTCCCTAGGCAACACCTCGGCACAGCCCTGCTCACCTCCGTGCCTCCCGGGGGAAGGGCCCTGCGGGCTGGGGCGCTGCCCGGGCAGCTGCAGAGGGAACAGGCGGGATGGGGCCCGCAGGAGCACACCCAGAGCCCGGGGAAGCGCCGTCCTCCGGG